GGGGCGCACCGAGCCTCATGTCCATGTGCACGTGGCAGCTACGGACGTCTCCAAGAATCTCCGGCATTCCGAGAAAAGCTGCGCTTTTTGCCGTGTTCGATTCAGCCTCGGATCCTTCGCGAGACTTATGTCAGGGTCACCAATGTAGTGCCGAGAGAAGGGAGACGGAGGCGGTGCATCGGAGGTGCAAATCTCTCTTTATTGGGGAGCAGAAATCGACATGCTGTCGGGTCGAAGGCACAGGAGACAAGAGAAAGTGAAAGGGACACACACTGTAGGTACCCTGGAGGTACCGTCAACATATATGTCCGGGCGGAAACAATACCCCCAACCTGTAGTTCCATGCGTGAATTATGTACCCTAGTTAAATAGTGGTCACTACAACAGAGCTATTAAAATAATTCACAGATTTGTTTCTTCTGGGCAATCCGAAGAGCAATTTGATAAGAGCATTTCAAAGCTAGCTCACCAACTTTGGCTGATTTTCTGATCAATATCTGTTGACCTTGGAGGGATTTGTGGGGGGGGGGAAATTGGAACTTTTCTTTTTTTTAAGAAATATAAAAAAATTGTCTAATCAACCAAAGATTTCGCGACCCCCTGCAGTACCTCCGCGGACCCCTGGGGGTCGCGGACCCCCTGTTGAAGACCTCTGCCTTAAGCTATTCATATGTTTTTTATGTTCGTCTTAATTGTCTTTTTGTTCACAACTTCTCCACATTTCGAAGTGTTTCCCGCGCCAGAACGACCTATCTTTCTTCCTGGCTTGCTCTATCATGATCCAATTAAAATGCAATACCAACAACAACTCAACAGCAACAACGCAAACTACCCACACATTGCGCATTGTTTAGAGCGGTTATAAGTGTTGAAGCGCTCAAATTCGAAACTGTTTCAACCTGTTACCTGTCAGAATAGAGACGAGGCAGTGCATTGAATCGCGTAATTGGACCGCGAACCAGTCAAGTGATTCATTCAGGAAATGAAGCAGTTGCTGCTTCGGACGTCATATGTCACGTGATTTGAAGCAGTTGCTGCTTCGGACGTCATATGTCACGTGATTTGAAGCAGTTGCTGGTTCGGACGTCATATGTCACGTGATTTGAAGCAGTTGCTGGTTCGGACGTCATATGTCACGTGATTTGAAGCAAGCTTCGAATCACTGCTTCGATGGAATATAAGAAGTCCAGGGTTGAAGCTCCGTTCAAAGCTTCAGTGTCAAACTGCCATCACTATCATTATTTACTCTGTCAAACTGGATGTCAGAAAATAACTTATTGGTTAAAAATCTGCGTCCTAGAGTCCAATGAGACTTCTGCAAGTGTTGTACACTTTGATGAATCAGAAAACAGGAAATAATAAGAGTTACATAACATGTGACAGCCCAGCGCAGTCAAAATGTAAGGTGTGTGTGTGTGTGTGTGTGTGTGTGTGTGTCAAGCCCTTGGGTATATTTGCAGTTTCCCCGCTTGAAAGGGATGGTACAGTCCATAGGAGGTTTTCACTGGGTTTCACTCATACAATGACCACAACTTTGTTTTCTTTTGAGTTCTTCTTTACTTTAGTTTTTGTTGTTGCAGTACAGCATATGTAGTAGTAAGGTTGCTAAGGTGAAAAACCTTAAATGAAAAATAAAAATAATTACTGTAAATACAATGCACATGAAATAATAAATGCAAAAATACATGCTTTACATATATAGTGTTTTAACACTTGTGAATATTGTTTTTCCTTTCTTAGTGTATTTTTATGAATTATGTTTTTAAACAGTTTTTAACTTATGCAGGCTCATTAAAAATGCAAATATAATAGACTGAATTTTTAGCAGCATTCAAACCGTTTTTATCAATCTACATATCTCAATAAACAAATCACATTCGTTTTTAAATCAACAATCATGTTGCTTTAGCTTGAGGACATCAAACAAACAAATGACACTGCACTAGAACGTACATTCTATATATTCTAACGTGCGCCACGAACATCAAGTTGTATGACTCTTCTATAAACACACAGTTCGTCTCTCACCGGCCGCCTCCAGCTTTTTATGGCTGCATCAGTGCTGCATCAGTGCTGCTTCTTTGTTGTTTCTTCTGCTGGTTCGTTGCTGCTGCTGGACGCACGCTTTTTAGTTTGTCCCTCTCCAGCTTTGATTACCGCCCTCCTTTCAGGTGCGGTGCTTTTAAAGGTGCAGCGATGCTGATGAGCAATTAGGGAATGATTTCAGACAGCTGCCACTCTGTCAATCAGCCCGACTTTTTAACCCTTTGATCTCCTGTGGAATCTCCAAGTTGACTTCACAGTGTGTGTGTGTGTGTGTGTGTGTGTGTGTGTGTGTGTGTGTGTGTGTGTGTGTGTGTGTGTGTGTGTGTGTGTGTGTGTGTGTGTGTGTGTGTGTGTGTGTGTGTGTGTGTGTGTGTGTGTGTGTGTGTGTGTGTGTGTGTGTGTGTGTGTGTGTGTGTGTGTGTGTGTGTGTGTGTCTTTTCTCAGACTGGAGAAGATGAGTGATGTAAAAGAAGAGGAAGAGGACAAATCTTCAGTCTCCAGCGGTCTGTCTCTGAAGAGTGACCGGTCTATGGAGAGTCCTCCACGCTTCAGGAATGAACCTGGACCCTCAGACACAAAGTAAGAGTCTCCACTGTAAACTGACCTGAAGAGGATCCAGTTTGTTGGTATCTGATCATCTAAACTGTTTAATGAAACCCAGTAGAGTACATTAACAACGTTGAATTGATCTCTTGCTTCTTGTCATCATCAGAGATAGTAAATAATCTACTAGTGAAATCATCCTCACACTCTACATGTTGGACTTTGTGTTAAATTAAGCAAATAAAATGCAAATATGTAAAACGTTTCACACTCGAATGCATTTTAACAACAGAAACCCACAATCACGACTCAACAACTCTAAAGATCTTTCATAAGGTGAACAGTCATAGATCAAAAGCTGCTCTTTAAATGAAACTAATGATGTTTAAACATGTGTTGTTTCCACAGACAGAGAGCACGGTCTACGGTCTCCATGTGGTCTCTGAAGAGTGACGGGTCTAAACAGTGGTTTCCTCCAGACTTCAGTAATGAACCTGGACCCTCAGACACAAAGTAAGAGTTTCTCCTGTAAACTGAAGAGGATCCAGTTTTGATGTAATCTAATATATCAAACTGTTCTTTAATAATATCATGTGAGCAGTTTGTAAAGGGAAAACGCAGCAGAGTAAGCTAACATTATCTAAGGATATTTCAATATGCAATTATATTATCATTGTATCTGTGTATAAAATGGTTTTAAATAGCAACAATGTTGATAAATACTGATTTAAAAATGATATATATTGTCCAAAACATTATTTAACTACTTGGGCATATCTATGATATGTCTTTTTAAGATGTTTATTAATAATAGTGATAACCTGGTGAGCTGGTTGTGTTTAGCATTAGCAGATAAAACAGTGTTTTGTGAAATCACATGTAGAGTCAATACGAAGACCCAGATCCGTGCCTGGCAACACGAAGGAAGTGAAGATGTTAAATTCATGTCACCTGCGTATTCGTGCAGCGTGACACATTTCATCTTGAGTGTAGAGTTTGTGACGCTCTGTTACAAAAACCTGTCAGTGTTGAGATTGTGCTCCTGTGGTCTCTGACGGTCTGAGGGGAATCAGAGAGGAGAACAGAGCTCGACAGCAGCTCATATTAAATCAGGGTTATTAATGTTCCTGTATAAACCAGAGACTGTCTGTGGTGCTTGATGGAGCAGCTAATGTTAGCCTAGCTTTAATCAAACCCATCTCTTCAGAAGAAAAAAAAAGGAAAAAAAATGTTATGCTCGTTGTGTTGGAGACAGACCTGACAAAGCATTAACTCAGGCTTTTTACAAATCAGTATCATTCTGTTGTTATTTAGGCATCCTTTCCATATGTTTATTTATATTAATTCACAGCAGATTCTATGCAAGTTGGGTTTATAGTGTACCAGGTTAATACAGCATGTGCTCCTCTGGGTCATGAATCCAGACAGGATGCTCTTTGGTTTTATGATCATGTGAATTGTAAGCTATCTACCTGATCACAAGGGTATATTATATAGACCTTTTTTTAAAGATCAAACTAGAATTTGCCCCCTTGTTGTACCTTTGGTGAGAATCAGCCCCTCTGAAGTAAAGTGCTATAAAGGATGTGTTCCTCTCCACAGAGGGAAGAGGAAGAGTCCTGTTCCCTCTGTGGAGGAGCAGCTGTCCAGCTGTGCTCTGTGTCAGGACGTCCTGAAGGATCCAGTCTCTACCAGCTGTGGACACTGGTTCTGCAGACAGTGCATCACCTCATACTGGGAGCAGAGCCCTCCATCAGGAGACCCCTCCTGTCCCCAGTGTGGAGAAAGATCCAGAACCAGAGTTGGACTGCAGACAGCCAGTCAGACCAGCTCTGTACGAGGTAAGAGGCCGAACTCATGCAGCGTCTTATTCCTCTTCCTGGTTCATTTGTTTTTTTTATTAGGTATTCTGTTCATTAAAATGTTTATAAAACATTTAAACTCAGTCTGTTTTTATTAGTTTTATTGTTATATTCTCAAAAGCATTTTCTGATTCTCTCATGTTTCCTTCTCTTCCAGCAGATAGTGGTCTGCACGATGTTTTAGATGAACATAGGCTCAGTCTGAGGAGGAGATGTGAACGTGTGACTGAAGGAACTCATCAAAGTGAAACCCTCCTCAACAGGATCTTCACTGAGCTCTACATCACACAAGGCCTCAGTGAAGAGGTTAATACCCAACATGAGGTGAGGCAGCTGGAGACAGCTTCCAAGAAAGAGACCCTCCATGACACTCCAATCAAGTGCCAGGACATCTTTAAAGCCTCACCTGACCAACAGACTCTCATCAGAGCGGTCCTGACCAACGGAGTCGCTGGAGTTGGAAAAACCTTCTCAGTGCAGAAGTTCACTCTGGACTGGGCCGAGGGTTTGGAAAACCAAGATGTCAGTCTGGTGATCCCGCTCTCCTTCAGGGAGCTGAACCTGATCAAAGGTGAGCAGTATAGTCTTCTCAGGCTGCTCCATGTTTTCCATCCAACCTTACAGAAGGTCACAGCAGAGCAGCTGGCTGTCTGCAAAGTGCTGCTCATCTTTGACGGCCTGGATGAAAGCAGACTTTCTCTGGACTTCAGAAACAATGAGGTTGTGTCTGATCTCTCACAGCAGTCCTCAGTCAACGTGCTGCTGACAAACCTCATCAGGGGGAAGCTGCTTCCCTCGGCTCTCGTCTGGATAACTTCCCGACCTGCAGCGGCCAATCAGATCCCTTCTGAGTCTGTGGACAGGGTAACAGAAGTACGAGGCTTCACTGACGCCCAGAAGGAGGAGTACTTCAGGAGGAGATCGAGTGATGAAGACCTGTCCAGCAGAATCATCTCTCACATCAAGAGCTCCAGGAGCCTCCACATCACGTGTCTGATCCCAGTCTTCTGCTGGATCACTGCTGCAGTTCTGGACCACATGTTGACTACAGACCAGAGAGGAGAGCTGCCCAGGACCCTCACTGGCATGTACTCCCACTTCCTGCTGGTCCAGACCAAGAGGAAGAAGCAGAAGTATGAAGAGGGACATGAGACGAGTTCACAGCAGCTGACGGAGGCTGACAGGAAGGTTCTTCTGAAGCTGGGGAGGCTGGCGTTTGAACATCTGGAGAAAGGACACATCATGTTCTACCAAGAAGACCTGCAGCGCTGTGGCCTTGGTGTCACTGAGGCCTTGGTGCACTCAGGAGTTTGTACAGAGATCTTCAAAAGAGAGAGAGTGATCTTCCAGAAAACAGTCTACTGCTTTGTTCATCTGAGCATTCAGGAGTTTCTGGCTGCAGTCTACATGTTCCACTGTTCCACCAACAGGAACACAGCGGTACTGAAGGACTTCCTGAAGAGAGACTGGCCCGATGAGAACAGTAAAAACAGTGATCAGGATTACCCATCCCTGCCTGTCTTCCTAAAGGGAGCCATGGCAAAATCCCTCAGAAGTAGAAATGGCCACCTGGACCTGTTTGTCCGCTTTCTCCACGGCCTCTCTCTGGAGTCCAACCAGAGACTCTTAGGAGGCCTGCTGGGTCGCACAGACAACAGACCAGAAATCATCCAGAGAGCCATCAGCAACCTGAAGGAGATGAGAAGTGATGACATCTCTCCTGACAGGAGCATCAACATCTTCCACTGTCTGACAGAGATGAAGGACCACTCAGTACATCAAGAGATCACAGAGTTCCTGAAGTCAGAGAACAGATCAAAGGAGAAACTCTCTGAGATCCACTGCTCTGCTCTGGCCTACATGCTGCAGATGTCAGAGGAGGTTCTGGATGAGTTGGACCTGGACAAGTACAAAACATCAGATGAGGGGAAACGGAGACTGATTCCAGCTGTGAGGAACTGCAGGAAGTTCAAGTAAGTCCAGATGTGATTAACTTTATAAACTAATGTGGATCAGAAGTTTCATTATTCAAATAAACACTATAACATTTCTGCTGTTTAAAGACTGAGAGAGCAAAAATAAATCAAGACTGTTCTTCTATTTATTTATAATGATAGTTAAACTGAAGCGTTTCTCTCTTCATATTGAGTGATGGAGGCAACATGTCAAACACATGAAGGACTCTCGAGGTTTCTCAGCATGTGATCACACCACACAGCAGGACTTACAGTTATCAGTTATTATTACTTTCTAGTAGTTTCTTTATCATTAAACACACACACGTTTTTATCACAATGTGTTAGAGTTTAAAATTAGATCTATATCATATCCCACCAATACCAGAGTTATGTCTTAATACTCATATAGTGAGAACATCTGATGGTATTCAGTTTAAAATATTGAAACTTTATTGGGTTGTTAACTGTGTTTGTGTGCACAATACATTTCCAGATGCTCAGAGAAACCAAAACATCCATCATTCACATCTCAATATTAATTAACATTTAAATATGTACATCTCTAATATTGTCAAGTGATTTATTTAATTTCTGTTTCTATGGTAACAGTCAGTGACAGCAGGAGCACAGACATGTGATCAGATCACACTGACAACACATTACACTCTATTATCATATATAATTATATATAAAATGGACTAACAGCAAATCTCAATCAGAACATGTCAAATATGTTTTTCATCAAATGCTTGAGGTCATTATGTTTCCTCTTTTTTTAACACATGTTGTAATTTATGTGTTATTATAGACTTACTGACTGTGGACTCTCAGAGACTCACTGTGAAGTTGTGGCCTCAGCTCTGAAGTCTGACCCCTCCCATCTGAGAGATCTGGACCTGAGTCTCAACGATCTGAAGGATTCAGGAGTGAAGCGGCTGAGTTCTGGACTAAAGAGTCCAAACTGCAGACTGGAGGCTCTCAGGTCAGTTCACTGACTGAACTTCATCTGTTTGTGTTTATCATTTTCTGAATTTGAAAAAAATACATTAAAGTTTTTTGTCGACTTTTGCTAATGACTGAATATTGATCAGAGTAACAAAGAGAAGGTGAATGTGTGAGGGAGAGAGTTTGAGCTTCCACAGACTCACTCTGTGCTCCAGGAGTCAGTGGAGATGCTGTCGGTACTGATGAGCTGTGAGGGAGATGAAGGAGTTGTTAAACATCTGATCAAAGTTAAAGTTCCAGATTATCAGTGGATTGTTTCTACATCATCTCTGAGATTAAAGGTCTCCTATCATGCAAAAGTCACTTTCTGATGTCTTTTCTACATCACCATGTGTCCCCGGTGTGTCCCATGTGTCCCCGGTGTGTCCCTATGTGTCCCCGGTGTCCCCCCATGTGTCCCCGGTGTCCCCCCGGTGTGTCCCTATGTGTCCCCGGTGTGTCCCCGGTGTGTCAGGAGACTCACAAAGTGTCAGGAAATAAACCCCTCTCTCTTTTCCTCCGTACCCACATCTCTAAAAACGGGGGAACAACAGAGCTGATCCAGATTTGCTGCGTCATGACGGCATTACTAAATTGTGGGCGGGCTTTACACCAACGGGCCAATCAGAAACGTTGCTGTCAGAAACAATGAGACGTGTTCTGGAAGTAATATGGTCTGGGTTCACATTAGCATGCTAACACTCAGAGCTAACCTGTACTGGAGAGCATGTGTAAAGAAGCAGGAAATAAGAAGGAACTCACCTTGTGGTAAACCTGAGAGAGAGAAAGAGTTTGAGCTCCATGCTGTTTCAGAGATAATCCTTGATGTGGTTTGGAACATGATATGGAGTTTAATCACGGCAGCATTTAGCTGAGTTTCTGCTGGTAGAATTTTTATCAGGCATTAGCCCCCCCTCCTCTTTTTTCAAGCTAAGGACCCGAACCTGCTCTTCTCTAACAGCTGGAACAGAGGGATATGAGGGATTTCTAAGATGCATGATCTGTTTGGTATTTTGAGCAAAACACATCATAGACATGTTTTTATATATTTGTGTATATCTGAGACCCATAATATATGCCTAAAAATAGCATGATAGGAGACCTTTAAAACCCTGTTTAACTCTGAACAGATGAATTAAACCTGGAGTTATTTCAAACAGGAACATTGTTTTCTAAAGTTACATCATGTTTTCTTTATTCAGACTGTGGCACTGCAGTTTGTCAGAGATCAGCTGTTCTGCTCTGATCTCAGCTCTGAAGTCCAAGCCATCCCATCTGAGGTATCTGGACCTGAGTGACAACGCTCTGAAGGGTTCAGGAGTAGAGCTGCTGAGAGATCTTCTGGAGAGTCCAGACTGCAGACTGGAGACTCTCGGGTCAGTTCACTGACTCTCTGTTACTGCTGGAGATCTCATGTTTCATTAGTTATTCAACCTGATTCTTCTACATTACAACTTACATCTATAAAGTTGTAAATGTTCTTTTATTCATACTTTCATTTGTAGGTACTAAAGTAAGAACTGCAGAGATAAATGTTGACTGATTCTTAAAGGAACTGTAATAGATGTTAGTTGTAAAAAGTAAATCTATGTTTTTAATATTTAGTAAACGATAACGTCTGAATAAAGTTCATCTGAAGTAATATTAGTTTTACAGGATAAAGTTGACTTTCTGAAGAAGACATGTTTTTGTTCCCATTCATTTCAATGTTGAGTAACACATCTGATTATAAACTGATTTGTATCCTCATCATGTTTTCTTTATTCAGACTGAGGCGCTGCAGTTTGTCAGAGATCAGCTGTTCTGCTCTGGCCTCAGCTCTGAAGTCCAACATCCATCTGAGAGAGCTGGACCTGAGGAACAACGATCTGCAGGATTCAGGAGTGGAGCTGCTGAGAGATCTTCTGGAGAGTCCAGACTGCAAACTGGAGACCCTCAGGTCAGTAAGGGGTCTCTGCTGGTTCAGCAGTATTGTATGAACCACAGGGAGGTGTTTCTCTCACTGGGGAAACAGATCAGTGATGTTACCCACTGACTGCAGGCTCTCTCATTCTTCCATCAACTATAGAAGGCCAGCTGAACATGCAAAGCCACACTTTAGTAATCAACTCTCTAACAGACGTATGGGGTTTTACAGAAGAGTGGGAAAGGTAGTCTGTTCTTATGGGATGATTTTAGTTTCTAGACCAGGGGTGTCCAAACTGCGGCCCGGGGGCCAAATGCGGCCCTCGGAATCGGCCCTCAGCAAATTCTGAAAGTATAATGAAATATGGCCCACAAAGGAAACTTCTGCTTGTCTTGTATTGTACTTCTTAAATATATATGTACACATATATTACACAGTAGTATTCATGTGTTAGTAAGCCCACCTTTAAAATAAATTCAGTCAATTAAAGCTGAAAACATTTCCTAACATATCTAACTTGATAAGAAAAAAGCCCAATAACTTATTTTGATAACAAGTGTGAAATAAACCCTTCATATTTCCTGTAATTATAATCAATCTGAAGCTCCTGTTTAACCTAACAGAATAAAGTAAACCCTCTGGAGAGCTGAGAGCTGTTTTGTTTCTTAAAGCATCCTCAAGTAACAAGCATCCTTTACCTTCATTTGATTGAGTTGTCTGACTTATAACTGAACTTATGAGGCAGTAAACCTCTAGAGAGCGGCCCAGACCTTTATATATTTTTCTGTATGCGGCCCTCGGTGAAAAAAGTTTGGACCCCCCTGTTCTAGACCAATGACTGGTTACTTCCTGTAATGCAGCTGAGAGCTGTGGCAGGCAGTCATAGTGTTTGCAGAGAAGATATGATGGGATGTAAAGCATGAGATCAGGACTCTGAAGCTGACTCAAAGAACAAACACTTATTTTAAACTGGATCTTAAACTGTTGGATTGTGTTCGTCTCTACAGGATCACAGGAAGAGAGACGATCAGAGCCACGATCCAGAAGACCTGTGAGTACTGAAACCATATCGTCCATTCAGCAAGATATGAAACTCTTTAATGGAGCATGACCTCCGAGGAAAACAACAGTCTTCTTTCTCTCTTCATCATTTTAGCTGTTTCTCTTTGTTTTATCATCATCATTATTCTCTCTCTCTCTCCTCCTCCTCTCAGGTGACAGGAAGTGAAGACACACAGAAAGGTGAGAGGTCGTACCGTGTGAAGTTTATTTATTGAGGTTTCAACACGTTTTTCTGGTGTTCCAGACAAATCTGTAAGCTCAGGTTTGATTTGTTCTCAGTTTATTCATCACGGGGCGAGTTTGAGACGTACAGAGGGGCGTGGAGGCATTTTGGAAAATAAAGAAGAAGGCGGCAGCTGATGAGAGACTTCCTGTTAGCTCTCCTCAATATTAAATGAACATAAACAATCAATTGTACTTAAAGCTTTTCTTAAGAATAAAGATGTGTTGCACATACACCTGCTGCTACCTACCACCACCTCCCACCCATCCCGGCACCAAAGAGGAGACTCCATCGACCCCAGATACCCCAACTCACTCTTCTTCAGGTCAGCTTCGAGCCCCGCCTTTACCTGCCCCAACACCTCACTTTGAACGATGTAGTCATCCGGATATCTGCATACTGAGAGTGGGACGCAGGACCCGGTCAATGAGCTGCTGGAAGGGGGTCCACTGGACTGGAGGGGCGCTTGGATCTGGTGATGCCTGGCTCTTTCTGAAAGGGGAGGACACCTATCTGCCATAGTTTCTCCACCTGACGACTGAGTTCGGCATCGGGGGGTCCAGTTGGGGTGAAGAGACTCCGGGGGGCATCCGATGGCTCCTGAATAGGGGGGGCATTTGGAGTGTCCAACCTAATGATAATAATAATAATAATGCATTTTATTTGTAATGTTGATCCTGTTTATTTATATGTAGGTCCCCAATCTTATGGTATGTTCACTAGTACATTGGCAGTACATGAAAATAGATAGATAGAAGAGCTGTTAGAGTTGGGAATAAACCATTTTGAAGGCAAGTGTAACGTGTCCTTTTAACATTATGTCTGTAAACCATTGCCTCTTTAATATTTGTACCTCTGGCTCAAAAACAATTTTCCACAACAACAAAAAATGTACTTTGTCACAAACTGTGAAAGAGAACAACCCATAAGACAACATTAACATAGATCTTGAAAGAAGGAGCAAAAAGGTGAACAAAACTGTATTGGGTTTTAGCTGGGTAAGAGCTTCCATCTAGTGTTGGTCCTTGTAATAAAGATCTGGGAATTCAATTTCGGGTTTATTTAGATTTTTAGGGCTACACTTTTTTAGAATGAATGATTATGGGTTATAGCTGAATGATTCGTCTTTCATGAGAGATAGCTAAGGGTAGCATTGTTTGATTTACACATCATTCATATTGTACTTTTCACTCCACTGCACGTATTTGACAATTTTAAACATTTTGGAAGTTCTGAATATTAATACAAAAATATAAATCAACTTATTATTATAGATTTATTTTCTCAGCAGTTTACAAAATAATGAAATATTTAACATTAGCTCTACCTCTACCAGCTGCAAAATGTAAAGGCCTTAAGTAAAAAGTGATTCACATTATGAGCACCAGTAATATCACATTTTACGATTCTGTGGGACCCTCTGCAATAAGTACTTTTACTTTAATATCTATATTTTTCTTTAATATATTAAGTATATAATGATAATACTTTTGACTATTTATTAAGGCAAGGCAAGTTTACACAAGGCATTTCAAAGTGCTTTACAAAAATGAAAGACATTAAGAGCATAAAACATTTTAGAAACATTAAAAAGCAAAGATAATAAAACATGAATACATGAATAAAAGTTGCAAGATGTGAATAGTTCATTTAAAAGTAGTGGCAAAAAGAAAGTCTTCAGCCTGGATTTAGAGTTGCAGCGGACCTGCAGGTTTCTGGTAGTTTGTTGCAGATATTTGACAGTATCCCTAGCCAAATTCTCACATTCCTCTACCCCTAGTCTTCCCATGAAATTATAGTTCTTTTGACAGTTTTCTAACTTGTTATATTCCTTTCATCCTTCTCTTTCATCCATTTTGAATCCCCAGACAACACATTTCCCCCTGTGTTACTGTTACCCAAACCCATCTTTGACCTTTAAACCACTTTTCTTTTCAATTCCCAGATTTAAACCTACACGTAGGGGACTTTGCATACAATATTTGTTTACACTATAGTATTACTACATTAGTCATTTGCCGTACTGACTGGAGGTTAGTATTCAGAACCAACTACTATTACTTAATGCCTTTATAAAAAAAACTAAATAAAACATATTGTGTGACAAAGACTTATTTTTGTAATGCTCAAATAATGTTTTAGGCAAAGAAAACATGAACTCTTGCATTACCGGAAGTGTTCACCAAAGCACGTTTACTTTTAAACCTGCAACCGGAAGTCGTGCATGTGGGTGTGTTGGTGACTTGATGCCGGTCTCCATCCAGAGTAACGGCAGCCTCCGTCAGTCAATTGTCTGTTTGTTGACGTTTTCTGGAGTACAGCAGCAGCTAGTAACGGGGTCCGTTGTTTCAGTCAATGGAGCTAACAAGCTAGCTAACGTAAATGGGTTTCCGAGTGGAAAGATGATCGCTTCACTTTCTAGAGGAAGTTTGCTGGATGAGGTTCTTCATGGGGGCTTTAATGAGGTAACGTTTACCTAGCGTTACTCATTTTGATGTTAATTATGTAAGGCTAGCCACAATTTAGCAAGCGGAAGCCAGTTGAATTTGCCAACCATCCTACAGCAAGACACCCTAACCTTAAAGTGCTACAACTTTATGTAGACATAAGTTATTCCTGCTGTTTGTTCACATCAGTTATTTAACGGTCATTTGTTTCTTATTTAGGAAAAAAAAAGCATTGTAGTTAACGGTAGTAAGGTAGTAATAATGGCAAGTTTAACATTCATCAGGAAATAAGAGTAGGACACTTAGTAGTTTTCGTATAAGTCTTAAAGTTTCATAAGCAAACGAAACATCCTATTTAGTTTACATTGAAGTCCTTTTTTCTGTGTTGAAAATGTGGTGCGTTTTTTTGTATTGTATCCCGGACAACGGGCTGTCACGTGACTGCACAGCATCGGTAAAGGTGGAGTCATCATGTGAAATAACGGGGTGTGAATGCTAAACCGTGTAACCATGGACGGAACACGAGACTTTATGATTGACCTTCACAACAAAAGCACATTTTAATAGGCAGTGAGACAATAGACGGACCCTGCCCCCACCCCCCCCTCTTGTCCCAACATAACAAACAAAGGGACTCATTTGTCATGCCTGGGTCTCAGCCTCTTTTGGCCCCTACTCTAAGCTGTGTTTTGTGTTGTGTTCCGTTGCGGTTTATTGGATTTGTGTGTATCTGATTGATGTATTGCAGCAGCAGCTGACAGCCTATGTTTCCTGGGTGAACTGTCAGCTGAAGAGGAAACCCGGCCTGAAGCCCATCACAAACCTCAGACATGATCTGCAGGATGGGGTGGTGCTCACTCAACTCATTGAGATAGTTGGTAATTACACTCATGCACCATAACACCAAGAAAAAGTGAAACATGCTCTAGTTGGAAGATTAAACTTCTCCAATGTAACCATTTCTGTTATTTATGAGTGCAGAGTTAAAAAAAATTGTATTTGTCAGTCACCAGTTCGCACTTTCACAACTGGCCGGTATGACTTTCCATATTTAAATATAATCACATACTAAGAATTTTCAGAAGCACAACACAGGATACCACTTGTGACTTGTCTGGTCACAGTTTGTCAGATTATTTGAAGATAACACTTGGTGGTAACGCACTGTAATGTTTCATTGTATTAACTGAAGGAAACAAAACAAAAAAGACACTATGTTCATCTAATTCTGTGAACGTAAAGAATGTCTCCTCTCTGCTTTTACAATAATTTTATTTAGATCTTATTAAGACAAAAAGCAACAACAATTTACAGCAGGATACATATGTTTGGTTTATGCATTTCAACCCTGTTCCTTTGAGTAAAGCCTAAACCCTTCATTGCTGCAGTGAACAAAATACTTTAAATTAATTTACAAATCACCCTCTATAGTTATAACACCTTCTTAAAGAGAAATACACATTTTTCTTAATGTTCTTTATACTCAGTTTTTGATGCTGCATTATTGTGCAATGTTGCAGTATTAGACGATTATTCCCATGGAAATTAGTGATTTTGGGGCAGATTATTTTTGTTCCAACAAAAACAATCACACACATTTTTCCTCCTAGGACTAAAACTGTGGCCACAAAAAGGATGGTGTAATTTCCTCAGACCAAACAACAAACAGAGCAAGCTATAAAGCCACTGGTCGATGCTTAAAATCATTGAACTGATCAAGTGAAATCATTCTTAATTTTTTTGTTCAACTGTACTGTACTCTTGCTCATTTTGTACTGATGATTTACTACTTTGTTTCTCTCTCTAAAATCTCATTCAAATTGACAGCTGGGGAAGTGCTGGAAGAAGTGTATGTTGCTCCACAAAACAAAGAAGAGAGCAGGAAGAATGTGGAGCAAGTGTTGCAGTTCATTTCCTCCAGACACATACGCATGCCACACATATCCGCAAGAGGTAAATCACAGAACAATCTGTTATGTTTTCATTCTCCCCTCATATCGAGAGTAGGTGTTCCTATACTTTCCTGCTTGCTGACCCTATATTATAAACATAAGACTGTATATCATGTGTTTACATGTGACAAATATGCCTCAGGGAAGAGAGATCATGTGCATGTTTATACAGCATATTCTTTGCAATATTTAAAGGCCTTTTCCTAATGATATTATGTTATGAAGCTTCCCGGCACTCCATGGTTACACCGTATATTGCAAATACTGTGCATGTGTAGGTCATTACTGATCATATGTTGCCTTTCTGTCTGCAGACATTGTCGATGGTAATCTCAAATCAGTAATGAGGATAATTCTGGCGCTGGCGGCCCACTTCAAACCCTCAGCCAATCACAGAGCTGCTTCTGGAGACGGGAGGAGTTTGACTCGAAGCTCCAGCAGCCACAACCCTCTCTCCCCCGTAGCGCTGGCTCAAGGGGCCGCTGCGGCTCTGGCATCAGCTCGACATGACGCCTCGCAGCCCGCACGCACCATACGTCTTCACAGGTATGCTGGCAGCAATAATAATTAACATAGACACAAAACCCTCAATGTCTTTCTCTAATATCCAATTATGTAATATCAAAATATTATCTCCAACAGCAGCAATAATTTGTTAGACACTTCTGTAGTCTTTGCTGTCCTCTGGTGGACAAACAGATCTGCAAAATACCATTCTCACAACTGCTCACATATTAAGTCTCTATATTTGGGATCAATTTGTATGCCAGTACTTTTTTATAGATAAATAACCTCTGCTCTGTTTGTCTTCTGTCAGTAGCTGGGGGTCGGATGCGGATAAGAGTATTTGTGTTCGTGCGCTGGTTAAGCAGTATGAAAGAGCAGCTCCGGATGATTCTGACAATCCTCAGTCTAGCAGGTAATGCATTTACTGTACATTACCTGAACTTCACAAGCATCATACATACCTGTCCTGTACATCCACACATAATCTATGATATTCTCAGTTTTTTTTAGTGTCTCCATTTTAAAGGCAGATGTGATTCAGTAGATCGTATAAAATGAGTCTCTCAGTGCTTAATATAAAACCAGAAACATGTTTGTTAAAGGAAAAGGCGAATCCTCTTTCAAACATCTGAGACAAGACCATATGAGGAGAGGAGGCACACTTCTGGCAGCATTATTAAAAATGGAAAAAATAAGATCAAAAAGTGGCTGAACCTTGGATATCATTAGCCAACCCTGACATAGAAATCACTATTATATTTAATTGGTAATATAATGGCAAAACGTATTCGCAAAGTCTCCTGAAATTCACAGGTAGTTTCATCCTTCATACACCAATCATGTTTTCTTGTTAAGTCTTTTGAATAATGCAGTGATTTGATGATAGACTAAAGAAGTTCTAAAACTTTACTAAAATCATCTTGACATTTTTTGGCCTAAATTCATTAACGAGGTTACTGGAGGTTAGTGCTTTATTGTGTCGATTTATGATTTTGAGTCTCAGTGTTTGGTAGAAAACAAACTTCCCTGTGTTGCTAATTACACTGTGCAGTTCACCGTGTCAGTTTAGTTTAGTTAAAGTGCTCTGTTATCTTTATCTTTCATCACCTACTTTTCCACTCTTTGGAAACAGTTGCCTTATTCAGTGGTTTATGTGTGTGTGCCCATGAGCGTGTGTGTTTCTCAGAGCATATGACTTTAGCAATCCAAACTTCACCCTGCCCCGTGTGTGTGTGTGTGTGTGTGTGTGTGTGTGTGTGTGTGTGTGTGTGTGTGTGTGTGTGTGTGTGTGTTTCTGTGTGTCTCTGCTAGCTTATGAAGATTTGTGCAAACCACAGGCAGATGATAGCAAAAAAGAAACAACCAGTCTCTATCTTCTGTAGTCACATGTCCTGTTATGCTCCGCTGTGCTCTTTTTAAACCATCATATGTGTACTTTATTGTAGGCATGTGTGTGTTCTCCATGACGGAAAGAGAAATGCATTGATTAATTTGTTCGTAGAATGAAGATGCCGTTTGGAAAGACAGACAGAGCAATAACCACCTGATGCTGCCGTCACACATGTAGATCAATCAGTGAGAGATGCTCAGCAGTGACTGTTGCTTTGGTTGCCATGACAGCTAGCTGTAGGGCGAGGGGCGGGGTGTGTGAGGGTGACGAGAATTGAAAGTGTCATGAGTTTGTAGAGATGCTGATGTCGGAGACACACATGCAGGGAGGAACCTAGGCTCCTCTGAAGTAGTATGGACAGTTGAGTCCACTCGTTGCCCATTATGGGGGGGAAGCCGTTTAAATGGTAAGACCACATACTCTGAGGCTGTGTGTGTGTGGATGGCTTTGCAAGTGTGTGTGAGTTTATGCTTCTTTTACGCTTATCTAACAATTACGCAATGCTACAAGGCATTGTGGAAACAGAAGGTTAATCCATAGCAGCGTCTCTATATACTATGCAGTTTGTCAGTGGTTTGATTTGCAAAAAGTTTGCAATATTTTTAATTAGCTAATTAACAGTTTTAAATAATGTGATTTTGATTTTGGCAAATGTTTTTGTTTCATTGAAAGCTTAGACATGGCTTCACCATGAAATGTATTCAGAGAGTTTATTACTTACAGATATGTATACTATATTACCACAGATATATTACAGCAAATGTAAATGCAGCCATGTCAAAGTAGTATGTACAGTAGTAGCACATAATAAGTAGGTGTTAACATTCACACACTTCTCTTGAATAAAAGTCATGAACTGGTATTTTGTCGTCCTCCAGCCTCAGTCCTCTGTCCAATATTTAGTTTTGAATATGCTAATTAACAGTTCTGAAGTATGTTGTTTATAAAAACTGTCTGACATTTAGATTTTTGCAAATGTTTCATGTCATGTGTTTCAGCTGTCATGTCACTTTTGATTGAAAGCTTAGACATGGCTTCACCAGGAAATGTATTCAGAGAGTTTATTACTTACAGATATTTATACTGTATTACCACAGATATATTACAACAAATGTAAATGCAGCCATGTCAAAGTAGTATGTAGTAGCACATAGTGTAATATATTTACATGCTGTGTAAGTAGGATTTAACAGGCACACACTTCTCTTGAATAGAAGTAACTAACTGGTATTTGGTCGTCCTCCAGCCTCAGTCCTCTGTCCTCTCCCAGAGCTCCGGCCAGCAGCCTCTCAGACAGTCAGCAGGACGACGGCCCGCAGCAGGAGAGCAGCGGTGAGGGTCACGTCGTTTGATGAGTAAACATCAACATCTGTCATTGGACAACATTAAGTAAACACTGTGTTTTGTGTGTGCATGTAGATGATTCCTCTCATGTTGTAACGGAGACGGCGTTGGAGGATTCCCTCAGTGAAACTCTGGAGAAGGAGGTGCAGGAGACACGGAAAATGGTCTCTGCTCTACAGGTACGTGCGTGCTGAGGTTTGATTATGGTCCATATAAATACATATTTTTGTTTTTTAATGTGAATATTTTTGATTGACTTTCATGTTTCGTTACTTTAAAGGCATAGTTTTTATTTTCTCATCTCCTCTCTTTGAAGATTTCTGATTTAAAGCTGGCCAATAAATACAAATTCTGCAAAATGAATGTCCACATCCCACATGGAAACAAGTCAAACTGTGTACTTCAGGATCATATATGTTGTTTAAACTGAAAGAAAATGCAGACATTTATTAGCTCCAGAAATATAGTTATACATTACTTGAAAGAATCTGATGCTTCGGCTCAGACAGTGCTGTAGCACATGTGACGAGAGCATGCTCTGTTTGCACATTCAGAGGGTTTTCATTTTCCTGAACTCCTTGTTATTGGGATCTTACATCTTTCTATACATGCATGTTCACAATTTAATGGGCATGATTTTAACCAAAATACGCCATAATACCTAGTATAGCTTTTACTCCTCCAAATAAGGTAACTATTAATGTACATTTTTACATTGAGATTGTGCAAAAAAACATTATTCCCAAGCTAAACCTACCTTGGAAATGTTCCCTAACCAATACTGACAAGTCAAGATGCCATTGTGTCCTTGGTAAAGACACTTCACCCTAAATTGCTCCTATGGGTATTTCAGTATTGATGCATTACATGTCTGATATATGTCATATGTAATGTAAAGCGCTTTGAACACTTGTAAAAAGCGCTAAAATAAATGCAATTAATTATTATTATCATTATTATTATACACTGACAATCGATTGAGAAAATTGAGATCGGGCTTTAACAATAGCACTTACAATGTCGGTTCACAGGACATTTCATCATTATCTGGGTTCAAATAAGATATATTCTCTTATTTTATTTAAAAGGTTATACTTGTAAATGTATTTGCATCACGCTTGTTTTTGCTTTGATGTATGTGTCCATCTGTCTATGCTTAAACTGTATATTCATATCTATATCTTTTTTTATACACAGGTTTCTTTTAAAAGACAGATCCAAATGTCAATAAGATGTGGATTTACTGAATAAATAAATGAAATAAACCAAATAACTTAGTGGGACAAAGCATAGTTCTGGCTTTACTGGATCATGTCTGTGCTGCTCCACTCTTTGATCCTATTGGTTGGTTGCAGCACCTGCGAAGGGGTTGGGATCTGGTAGGATACAACCACAATTCTGACAATACTTTCAGGCCATTTGTGCTTAATATGCGTCAGACAACTCAACTTAACTTAACTTGTCGGAGCTTTCAGAAGACAGCGGCCTCGCTCCAAAGTACAAACCGAGTCACATGTTGAACTCTCTGTGTTTTTAGGCCCTGCTGCTGCATGGCTCGCTTCCTGAGGACGAGCAGGATGTGTCCTTCTGTTTGGACCAAGGCAATGCTGAGCAGCAACTGGTAGTTATACACTAGGTTCTCCTTTTGTTTTTGTTTACTTCTCTCTGTGCTTCTCGGCTCTCTCACTTTTCGGTGCCACAATCTCTTTGCTCGGTCTCACCAGCTCTTTGTGTTGAGCACAGATCATATTTCTTCTTCTTTACTGTGTGCGTGCGTGTGTGTGTGTGTGTGTGTGTGTGTGTGTGTGTGTGTGTGTGTGTGTGTGTGTGTGTGTGTGTGTGTGTGTGTGTGTGTGTGTGTGTGTGTGTGTGTGTGTGTGTGTGTGTGTGTGTGTGTGTGTGTGTGTGTGTGTGTGTGTGTGTGTGTGTGTGTGTGTGTGTGTGTGTGTGTGTGTGTGTGTGTGTGTGTGTGTGTGTATGTGTGTCAGAGGGTGACACGGGTATCGGTGTCACTTCTTTCTCAGTCCATTGTGGTTCTCACACACATTACTTCTTCTCTCCCTCTTTCCAGGTAGTCATTCGCAGCCGTTTGGATCAGAGCATGGACGAGGCTCAGCAGCTGAAAGTAAACCATTTCATAATTTGTTGTCTTTTAAAAAAAATATTTTCTTTTCTTGAAAGGACACTCACATTTGAATACTGAGTGAGCACATTTATGTAATGCACACCGTGATTAATATTAAATTCAGAGCGTGTTGTTTGCTGTTTGCTTCAGAGGGAACTGTTGCGCTGTAAGCAGGAAATGAGAAACATGCAGGCAGTCAAGGTAAGACACATCCTGGTCTGCAGTTAATTATCTCATTGCTCAGTTAAATACAATTCTGGCTGCTTGCTAACTGCCTGCTTGCTAACTGCCTGGTGTGTCAGGGCCTGCTGTTGACTCTCTGTTGGTTTGTAAATGTTCAGGATGCCCAGCAGCAGAGAATCTGCACTCAGGAGGCATCGATCCTGCAGATGAAGCAAGAACTTCTCAGAGCCAGCATGACCAAGGATGAACTCAACAACCAGAATGTACACAATCTATTTCATTTTTAAAAGTCAAAATGTAAAACTTTTAACTACGATCACAAAAATGTTTTCACAAAATGGGACCAATAAAGTCAATCTTATCTTATCTTATATTTACTATCCCATTTGTCTAAATACACATAGCAACACAGCAACTTAACATACAAAACGATGTATGTTACTGTGTATTCATTACTGTGTACTCTCTGTTATAGGCTGAGCTACAGTGGAAGATGGAGGAATGCAACAGGATGTGGGGTGAATGCAAGGTGGAGTACCTCTCTTTTATTGTAACCTATATGAGTTCTCCTGACTTTCTGTTACACAGCATCTGTTACATTTCGTTTGTATGACATGATGAACCTCTCTTCTCCTTCGTTGACTGGCTGCAGAAGGAGGTAGGACAGAAGGACAGACTACTGCAGCAACTCAAACACAAGCTTGAAGAAAGTAAAAAAAAGCAGGTATGTGAGCCAGTTCTGGGATCTCAAATGGGAAATATGGTGGGATAAAAACCTTCTGTCCATCTCAATGCCATGTGTGAGAACCAAAAGTTATTCATTTACTCTTTTTTTTAAAGTGCCCTTCACAGTCTTGCTTTGCAGTTGTTCTACTTCAGCAAATGAATAGTAAGACATACTTAAATGCATGAGGAAAGTATAAAACATACTTCACTAATCTATAAATCTGATGTTTGGAATAGATATATTTAAACTTTATGGCAGGTTTATTTAAGTGTGTTTTAAAGTCCATTTATTGCAGCATGCAGGTACTTTCTTAACTAACATTCTGCATCAAAATCTTTACAGCCCAGTTTTATGTTACATATTTGGTCTGCTTCAGGCAGTCACACATTCAGATATACATTACACAACTGACACTTAGTCTTCTTTTTTTTCTTCATAGACAGAAAACAACGGATATTCTTACTCTGGAAATCCTGCTCCCTCCGTGTCAGATGTAAGTATTGTTTCTTTTGAAAGTCTGGTAAGTTAGTCAGACTTTTTTTGAGGCTACATTACTATAAGTCAACTACAGGGAACTCCAAAAAAACAATTTCAAATGTCATGCATAAAAAAGTACTGTAAGGTTTGAAACAATTACGCAGCGGCTGATGATAAAATGAGCGTTTGTGTTTTTGACATGGTTTTGCTAGCAGGCAGAGGAGGTTCAGCTGCTCAGAGATTCACTTCGGAGTTTGAGGAACAACTTCCGAGATCACGACCCGCAGCACCACACTCTGGACACCCTGGAGCAGGGCATCGTGTCACTCATTGACAGACTGCATGTTGTGCACACACACAGGGTACGAGCACACTGACTTCCTAAACTATACATAAATTGCCACTTTAACATCTGACTGCCTAATGGAGTAAGCATAAATGAAAGTGTAGCATCCGGACTAAAACCACCAGACTCAGGGACAGTTTCATCCCACAGGCAATAAGACTGTTAAACACCTGAACTGTTGAAACAACATCCACAATATTCATCTGGCTGCTACTTAAAAATTATTGATCTATTTACCTAGTATCATATTTCAATGACTTGCATATAGACTCTTATTTCACTATTTCAACTATTTTCTTCTTTTATTTACTATTTACTATTTACTTGCACTATATTTTTCTGTTTATCTGTGTTTTGTGTTGCACTGTTGGAGAAGCCTGTGACACAAGATTTTCATCGACATAACTACACTGTAGCTATGTTCGTTTGACAAATAAAGAACCTTGAACCTTGGAGACGAAATGTTCTTACTACTGTAAATTCACATTTGTTCTAGTTTGTTTTGGCAAAATGTAGATATTTAAAATCATAGAGGGGAATCAACATTTTCTCAAACACAACAGGGAAGGGGGAAGTCTCCAAGACGCAAAGGCCAACTCACTGACTCTGAAACCTGGTCTTCCACAAGTAAGTTATTCCAAATCTTACCTCCCAAATTCAAATGCTCACACATTAACAATCTAACTGACTATGTTTCTGTTATCACAGCTGTATGTCACACCAATAGTGGGTCTTCTGCCTCCACTAAAATTCTTTATTTTACTGGAAAATCCCCAACACCTTCCATGATCAATATACCGAAAAGGTGAGTTTATGTGTGTATAAAGTGTATTCTTTCCAAAAAATGTAAATATGTTGCAATGTTTTGGTTGACAGACAGAATCGATGCTGACAATCATAACACCTGCATTTAGGCTTGTCAGCAATAGGAAGAAAATAAGTACAAAAATATAAAATAAAGCGGTCATGATGAGTGTGTTTTTGTGTTCACATTGTACAGGCTGGGTGAGGTGACTTTAAAGGACGTAAAGGCAGCTGTGGATCGAGAGGGAAACTACAGGTATCACTTCAAGGCCCTGGACCCTGAGTTTGGCACTGTGAAAGAAGAGGTGAGAGAAGGCGTAGAAACAAATAGATAACAGGACAGTCATTTGGTGCACCCTGGTCTGAATAGAAACTGAATAAAACTCAAATTAAAACATTAAAGTGCACCTATCATGCTATTTTGAGGCAATAGCATAGGTCTCAGATATATAAAAATATATAAAAAACATGTCTATGAAGTGTTTTGCTCAAAAAACCAAACAGATCACCCATTCTAGCCATGCCTCATATCCCTCTATTTCACTTCCTGTTTCAAAAGTGCTGATTGTGGGTATAAAGCTTTAAAAAATACAAAATTGATACAAAATTAAAAAGGACGGGCTGAGCTCATGCGGGACCCGGCAGCTACTGTCTAAACTAAATACTGCCGTGATGAAACGCCATATCATGGATTATCAAGGATTATTTCTGAAACAGTATGGAGCTCAAAGGCTTTCTCTCTTGCCGGTTATACCACAAGGTGAGTTCCTTTTTATTTCCTGCTTCTTCACACACATGCTCTCCAGTACAGGTTAGCTCTGAGTGTTAGCGATGCTAATGTGAACACCGACCATATTACGTCGGAAACAGTCGGGCATTGTTTCTGATAGCAACTTTCTGATAGTGCCGTGGGTCCACATTTCCGATATTACGTCATATCGGACGCAAATCTGGATCAGCTCCGTTGTACCCCCGTTTTTAGAGATTTGGGTACGGAGGAAAAGAGAGAGGGTTTTATTTTCTGACGCTGCGTGAGTTCCCTGACACACCGGAGACACATATTTATGTATAAAAGACATCAGAAAGTGCATTTTGCATGATAGGTCCCCTTTACAGTAAGTACTTCCATCTAGCCTGTTTTGTGCAACACTTTAAAGATCCTTTTACACTTGACCGTGTGCAGAAAAGCAGTGGAGTGGATGAGGGCTGAAGCAATCTTATGATAGACACTTAACATTTGTTTGAGTGTACGCTGTATTTATTTCTTTGTGCAGGTATTTTTGGATGGAGCAATCATTCCAGGCTGGGAAGGAAAAATAGTGGCTTGGGTAGAAGAGGACCATGAGGAAGAAAGGTACTGCATTATTTCTGTATCTCTGTCTCTGTTTTCATGACTCTCAGATAAGCAACGCATAATTTTTTTTTTTTTTTAGGCCATTGTAGGTGCAAGCTAAGCTGCCATGACACTCTGTTTTTGCCCCTAGTCAGGATGATCCAAGAGGCCCATCCAGACAACTGTTCACCGGAGGCACCAGTGGACACTTCTAAGAGCCAACCAGCCAGGTTTGGGATATTAGCTGGTACTAAATCACACTGATAGCCTTAAACACTCTGTAACTAGAATATCATCAAACTCAGTGCCTTAGAAAAGCTGTTTCCATCATTTGCTTATTGCCATGCTGTACTGTAGTATCAAAACTGGAAAGTAGATGGACAATTTATTTAAATTGCCTTTTTCTAAACACACAGTTGTGTTGTTTCTTCTCTAGTTAAGAGGTTGTTACTGTTAAGAGGAAAAAACATGTTTATTCTCATGTTGAAGAGTTCAGTATCACTTTTTATTCTTGTGTATTACTAAGGTCTTTGGAACAAGCCGGACTACATATTAGAAATATGTATGACTACATTTCAATCTTACTTGTGAATGTAAAGTGAAATTACAGTATTATCTACCATAGCATAAAAATTGAGAAAATGTATTTTGGGTGAGGAAAAAATACCACTTTTATAATAGAAAGGTTACAAGCACCGAAAAAGTAATGCAAACTTTGTACAATTTCATTTTGTTTTAGTAGTTCACAAGGTTTGGTGACATTCTGAACTAATGCGTACAAATAATCTGCCCAGAAACCAGCTTCTTCTACTATTAATACGTTTTGTATTAACATATAAGTGTATATATGTAAATACAAAACACTTTTAGGCAGGCCGCAGATAACACAAAGGGTAACAGTCATCTTGAGATGTCCAAACAGAGAAAAAAATGTAGTTCAAAAGAAAAAACTTCTGAATTGATATCATCAGTTTCAGCAGAAAATACCTTAGTTCTAATCTGGGTTGATGTAGACTGAAACGCTTAAACTGAACTGCAATTCGTGAAAAATAAATGATGCTGGAACTTTTGTGTTTATGTACAAATACAGACGAACAGCACTGTTGTTTTGTTTACTTTTTGAAATTGTTTTTGTACATTTGTGTAAACTTATTTTGTCCTTACATTTTTTAAGTTTGTGAATATTCTTTGTTCAAAGAGAGATTCCTGTGAGATGTGAATTTTACGTCAGAGATTTAAAGGAGACTGCGAGAACCACCCAACTATTTATGGTGTGTGTGTGTGTGTGTGTGTGTGTGTGTGTGTGTGTGTGTGTGTGTGTGTGTGTGTGTGTGTGTGTGTGTGTGTGTGTGTGTGTGTGTGTGTGTGTGTGTGTGTGTGTGTGTGTGTGTGTGTGTGTGTGTGTGTGTGTGTGTGTGAGAGAGAGTGAGAGTGAGAAAAGCGATCAGGATGGACCTTTGTCATATTTTCCTTCACTCTTTATCTTCATGTTTGGGATCAATGTGTTTACCTTTACTAACAAGCCAACTGAAATTTGCATCAATTTACTTTTGACCTGTTTTAATGCCATAACTGCCTGAACTGTAATATGTAGTTGGAGAGATGGTTATTCAGAATTTGTTTACTGAAATATTTCACAAAATGTGAAAACTGTCTGTTAAAAATAAAAAGGACCTTTGTTGAATGTTAGAAAAGACAGATATTTTGAAATAAACCAAGTTTTGTTTTATAAATATGTTCCGTTTTTTATTGATACTGGAGACGGTGGGGTTTTTACTGATAAAAGCTTCAGATTACCAGGTTTTGGCAATTTAGCTCTTAATGTTGTATGTTTAACAAAACATAATTTTATCTATGTTGTCATGGAATTATATGAGCTTAAAACCTTAAAGATAAATAGAAAAAGAGAGGAGAGAACTAAAGAATAAGGTGAGAGTAACATTGTACTTTTCCAGTATACATTTAAAACAATTATTACTGCTTTTTGTTTATCTTGCATTGAAAAGTAAAGTTACATTGACATTTTATCCTCACTAACATATTCATTATAAGCATTATTTTGTAATCTTGTTATTTTATCATCTCGCTCATTCACTTACATCGTAATACATTTGATTCATTGTTGATTTGGCAACATATTTCAAATGCAAATGTCAGGCTCCAAACCTTTATACAGTCTATGCTCCAAACCCATTGAATTATTTCACTGCCATCGTGTGGACACTGATATAATTGCAGCTACCTTGCGAATCCTTCTCTTACAGTTTTTAATTTCAAGTTTTAGGTTTTTTGATACATTTTTTGTTTCTCATTAACTTTGATTAAGATTTTGTGGTGGATTTAAAAAAAATTAAATCGTATGTCTACATTTTAAACAGATATCGTTTACGACACTTATCTCCAAGCTACGGCAGGACAAGGAGTGGAGCCGTAAAGCGTTGTGTTTGGACGGTTTGGACTGGAGGAGGTCATTAGAAAGTGAGGAGTAGCTAAAACCGGTCCGGTCCTCCAGGCAGAGCAACACTACTCCATCTGATGTTGGTTTAAGATAAATACATTATTCAACAGCTCTGTATAGTGTTTCAATCTCTGCGAAATGCTTCGTCTGATCTTGCGGCTCAGGCCGTCCTCCGGGCTCCGGTGTCCCCGTGCCCTCCCGGCCGGGCCTGCTGCGCTCAGCTCCCGCTCGGTGCCCGGGACCGGAGCTCTGAGGCGGCTGCATTGTGGGTCCCGGACCGTGTGCTGGAGCTCCGGCCTGAGCAACAGGGCGGCTCTGCTGCGGTGTCCCGGGCTGAGCTGTCAGAGTGTGCGGTTCTACTGCCTGCCGCCGCACCAGAAGGTAACGTTGACGACTGTCAGGTTGCTATAGCACCAACTGTTACAGCTAGCATGACCTCCCGAGCTAGCTTGAGATGACAGCGCTGTGGAGAGCTCACTCACTCTGTCACTGCTGTAAAGGTTACACCCAGCAGCTGCACGAGTTTTAAACTGCACTTCTACAAAAACAGCGTTTCTTAGCTTTACCAAAACGCATTTAGCAGGCCAGTAGGTAGGTGACACCACTGGAGGTTGGAACATAGGCATCTGAGTCCTGACATGTTTTCATGAAATGACATTCAGACTTGAGTTACAAAGTGTCCCCATATGCCAGCTAAAATGGAGTTTAGATTATTATGATCAAACTGCTGATTGTTTTCCTCTCAGTTTGATTGATTCTGCTTGTTATTGTTTATATGCATCTGATCTAGTTTTGTAAAGCACTATGGGTTGTGTCTTTGCTTGGTGGTATAAGCATTTACAGTAATTGTTGTTGTTGTTTTTGTATTGTTGTTATTGTTATAAGTACGTTATTGTGGGCCAGTGGAGATGTTAATGTTAATATTGCTGTGTGTGGCCACCATTGGGGGTCCCAGTCCATACACATTGGAAAAGATTGCCAAAATAAATGTAAACAAACAAAAAACATGCATGTATTCCAGACTCATCAGTTTTAGAAAATGTGACCTAAATACAGATTTGGCTTCAATTGTCATCCGGTTGCACACCAGCAAAAAAAAGAACAGAACATAACTTAAATTAAATGTATTTTTTTATGTATGTATGTTTCCTTTTTAAGTCATGATGTAGCTGCATTTCCACCAGGGGTATGCTGACAATTTACATACCACAATAACACTTATTTTCAGCAGGTTTTCAGTATGTAGTGTGGTCTCTGGGAAAGTCAGTATTGGTCATGAAAAACACCTTTTGAGTTTGCTGTTGATGCACACATTAATCGAATGAACACATATCAATGTCATTCTCTTTAGGACCCCCCACTGCCACTTCTCATTGCTATCAGATCAGATGTTAGGGGACCACTTTGAAATGCAGCTGTATGTTACAACACCTAGGACCTGGCTGTCTGTGTTTTGATGTCTCATGATTCCTTTATTCTTGATTTCTTATTGCTGAATTTTTTTTGGTTCACTAGGTGGAGCTCCCTGCACTGTCCCCCACCATGCAGACAGGAACCATTGCTCGCTGGGAGAAGAAGGAAGGAGAAAAAATCGGCGAGGGCGAACTCTTAGCTGAGGTATGGAGCTGTGTGTTTGTTATTATATTATTGAAGGAAATTAATATATCACTATACACTTTATAACATGTGTCCTATCTTTGTAGGTGGAGACTGACAAGGCCACTGTAGGGTTTGAGATGATGGAGGAGTGCTACCTGGCAAAGATCCTGGTGGCTGAAGGGACCAGAGATGTCGGCATTGGAGCTGTAATCTGCATCACAGTCGACAGGTACGTTTATATCATCATGTAAAAAAAAAGGTCTTATTCTAATTAGTCTGCAATTGTGCGGTCAATAATGTTGAGTTTTAGTTTAGTTTATTTGTTTATAGACAGTGGACAGTCCCCATTGATCAACTGTCACAAAAAACAGTAAATGGGGCAGCTTTAGCCAACATTGCTAATTTCCAGCTGTTATAATAGACTCCCTTAAAATCACAATATATAATGTGAAACCATAGGATTCACAACTCTTTCTCAGACGCTGGAAATCTTTTTTTACTCTTTGTTGCTTTTACTTTAGTCGGGCCGGACCAGTGCTGTGAAAATAGATCTGGCTCCACCTTTCCATTCTGCTCTAGGGGAAAACAAGCTCTGGCTTGTTAGTGTTTCTTTAAAGCAATCTCAACTGTCTTGGGCTGCAGCGATGAAAATAGCTCCAAAATAGGGATATATTTATAGTGATCATTTTATACTGACCCGAAATGGTATAGCTGTATCATTGACCCTGGGCTTGATATATTCACTTTATAAACTGAAATTATATTATTAGACACTGGAAGTTTTGACCAAGTTGTTGCTGCACTAAAACGCGTTACAGATTCTTTACCAAGTGTATTTATGATTTTAATACTAATAGTCTAAATGTATTTATCGATATTTTGTTTTCATAGTTAGTAAAGCAATTTTTAGATCAATTCTAATAAATGCATCACCACAACACATGCAATGTATGGCCTTTAAGTTTAGATGTAGTAATGCTTTGGGTAAATATATGTCTAATATTGGTGTGTATATTTTCCGCTGCAGCCCTGAACTCGTCGCAGCTTTTAAGGATGTTACCCTGGAGTCTCTTCAAGCAGCCGGAGCCAGCCCTTCACCGGTCGCCTCCTCCTCTCCTCCTCCTGCTGCTGGTGCTGCTCCTGCCGCCCCGGGCAGCTCCTACCCCACACACATGAAGGTAGGTCTGCTCAACAGCTCAGTCAGGTGTGGAGGGTGTTTACAGTCACAGTGTACTGTACGTTCATCAGGGTCATTCAGTGTGGATGTGGCGGGATCATCGTGTGTCTACTGCATGTTGGAGCAGCGCAGTAGGGTGGAGTTATTTGGGCTGAAATTAAATAACCACTATCAGAATCAGAATACCTTTATTAGTCCCACAGAGGGGACATTTACATTGTTACAGCAGAAAAGAGCCAAAGACAGCTTAATGTTACCTTAGTAGCATGCATAAAAAAAAATATTAACGATAAAAAAAATAAAGAATATAAAATAAAGATTAAAAAAGTTACACAATTTACAAAAAAACACATCCTGTAACAGTTCTGAGGATTTAGCAGCCAGGTATATATTGCACTGTTATTAACAGCATATATATATATTGCACATAGTTGGTGGTTAACAACAAGGAGTGTTATAGTCTGTGTTGTTGTGTGTTTGGGGGTCTACTAGGGGCTGTGCTGGTTATATAGTCTGACCGCTATTTCTACTATCCTGAGATAAACATGCTTTAAGCAACACATACCCATTTAGATTTTTTAAGTTAGACGAAAAAGGATGCCATCAGAATAATATGAAATATGTTACATTCAAATGCAAATGTATACATAGTAGCTTACCTTTGAAACCAGATGGACCTGCTTGTAGATTTAGTCAGTTTTAAGGAAAATAAAGAGACCACATGTTTTTCTTACTCAAGTAATGGTCTCAAGGTTTTTTCTTTTGATACACAACATGACCTTCAACCAGAGAGTTCCAATACTTATATTATACAAAACTGTTTTAGGTTGTTTTTTCTTGGTCAATGTGAGTAGCTATACAATGTGTGAGCCGGTGATGTTAACAGCAGCAAGACATATTTACAATGAGAAAAAGGTAGAAATATTTACAGATATTTTGTGTTTTCCTGCTGCACTTGATGTGTCTACCCGTGGTCTCCCATGTTGACATCATAGTGTCAAGGGTACCATTGTTCATGAGAATAAAAACAACGTTTTATCTCTTGAACACAATAGTATGTTTGGCTGAGAGTTCTCAGGAACTTGAGAACAGCTT